GCCTTGGGAGAAATCTGCATTCCAAGGAACATACCAGATAATAGCCAATGTTCTTTTCCAAGAAGCTGCCACCTAGAATGACAGTCACTTTTACCCGAGGTTCCTGTCACTAGCACTTAGTGTTTCCTGATTGGTTTGAATAAAGTCTAGTTAGAGTTTAATAGATTCTCTTGTCAGCAGAATAAGTTGGGAATCTGTTTTGACATAGGATTCATTTCTGTAAGTTGCCTGCTTTCTAGCAGAGGAGAGCCTCTGACTTTAGTTCAGGCCGCACCTGGGAACCACGGGCCCTGAGCTTTACTCATGGATTCAGTAACCGCCATGTTGCTGGTCATCTGACTTACCTGAATTGCATGTGATCCCTTTCTGCAGTTAGGCTAAGGATACTTGCCACCTGTTTCTCTCACTTTGAGTACAGAATGAATTATTCTCTCTAAAGAGTTCAGAAGTGTGTTAATAAGGCCCATAGATAGGCATACCTACTTTTGAAACCCTTTTCATGGAAAAAAAAAAAAAAAAAGTAGCTTATTAGATTCACTGTGATTTTGAAGAATAAACTTTTTCAGTGAGTGGCAGTAGTCATCATGGTGTCCTGCCAGAACAGGCCTTAAGACCTAGTGGGTGAGTGGTATGGGGCAAGCCACTGCCTCAGGATGTAGTGACTGGGGTCTTCGGGGAGTGTTTACAGTGTCATCTGGAGTTCTGTGCAGGAGGTCTTACTCTGAAATCTGAGGGGCCCACATAGAGCCAGGAGGAAATTTTCCTGCTGATTTAAACCCCTTTGGGTTTTCCAGATCTGCATCTAATACATTTGCAGAAGCACTGCAATTGCTAATCACTCCCATGGTCTCATTTGGCCAGCCAGCAACAGGCTACACATCGATCTTTGTACAAGGTGTTTGTTTATAATTTATGGAGCTGATAGGAAGGCAGAGCCATCTGCTTCTCCAGGCATCAGTATTTCTAACCCCTCCCATTCCTTGCGAGGGCATTTTCACTTGGAAATCATTTATAATTAGGAGGAGATTACATTGCAGAGTCTGGAACATGGCTTCCTGCTGTCTCCTGCATCTTTTTTCTCCCCCTGGAGCTGCCCTGAAGCTTGTAAGCAGTTTTGATTTGAAAATCCTTTATTTCTTAGCCTGCCTTTTCATTCTTAGCTGCCCAGCTAGCTGTCCCCATCATCTTTGCCCATGTTTTGTTTTGCTTTGAAGTGCAGGGCAGTTGCTGAAGCCACAGCTCAGGGACCAGGGCCTGTTGGACAAGGCATCAGCAACACCTGGAAATGTAAATTCTCAGGCCTCACCCAGCACTCTGTGTTTTCATAAGCTGCCCAGGTGATCTTGATGTCTGCTAAAGTTTGAGAACCTCTATGCTAAGTCTTGGAGCAGAACAAAGATTTCCAATGGTGTGTGGATTGCCACAGTGTCTTAGCTGTATTTCATTTTACCTTTTTCTCTGCTTATATTATTGTTGGATCCAAAAAGAATGAATTGCCCTTGCCCATTAATACATTGCTTTCCTGCAGTCCAAGAAAACACATAAATCCAAGAAATCTCCCTTTGTATAAACCAACTCATCAAAATGTCAGCCACACAAGTGAATTGAAACAGTGACCACTCACCATTGTAAGTGAGCATTTCTGTTCCACATGGGAAATTAATAAACAATGAGCAACAAATGTAAGTTGCTAATTGGAACTTTGAAATAAAAATGAAATTGTAAACACATGATCTCAAAACTCTACCTAGTGGATCTCTCTATGCCTACCACATGCCCTTCATTAGGGTGGAATTGAGATCCCAGATCACTGGCTGCAAGATTTCTGGAACTGAGCATGCTGCTGGAGAAGCTCTGGTATAATTCCCAGCATTTCCTTTTCATTTGCACAACACTCTCTGAGCGAAATTGGAGGGTGGGGCAAAGTTTGGGAGATGCCCATTGACTTGGAATCATTATAATATAGACACAAACATGGTGGTTTGGATTTGAGGCTGACAAAATGCTTGTTGTCTGTATGCCCAGTATTTTTAAGGGGCACAGAGTCAAACTAGGAGCCATGGTGGCACAGTGGTTAAGCACTCAGCTGCTAACCCATAGTTCATTGATTCGAACCCACTAGCCACTCGCTGTGTGGGAGAAAGATGTAATGGTTTGCTTCTGTAAAGATTACAGCCTTGGAAACCTTATGGGGCAGTTCTGCTGTGTCCTACAAGATCACTATGAGTCAGAATTGACTCAACAGCAGTGGGTTTGATTTTTTGTTGTCGTTCATTATAATAACTGATATAATACATTGCTTATTTGTTTTATAAATACTCAAGTTATTTTCTATACAGCTTTAAATTAGACTTTTTCAAATTTTCTTGCATCTTCTCAGCACATTGTACTGCCTCTGTTGTATGTCGAACCTGTGCGTCTTCCAACTGACACCTGATTTGATCTAATTTCTTCTTTAAATCCTGTGTCTCATCTTCTAAAATCATGTGCTAATATGTGTTACCTGCCAGCGAAGACTGTACTATAGAGAGCTTGTTGAGGCTATCAGCCAGTTCTTGTTGAAGTTGTCTCACAACGTTTTCATTTTTTTTGTGCCAAACTATCCAGAAGGAAAATTTTACTTGTACTCTTTTCCCAATCTGCCACCCCCACCCCCTTTAGAAATTATTAGGGCAGTAAGTGGTTAAATGCTTTCTTGATGTTGGGGGGGCTGTCTTTAGAGACTCATTCTTTACTGTATTACATGTTAACACACATGAGCTAGATCTAGGTAACAGCAAAGTATTTAATAGAATATCCAGTATTCTTTTTTGAAATGTTAAATATAGATAAAAACAGTCTTAAACTCTACAGAGTCCCATCTCCTTCTCTACTTACTTTCATGTCCTACTGAAAATTTATGATTACTTTCTCCCCTTGCCTTTGGTGGTTACAGTATAAAATTGTCAGTTTCTTTTATCTTTCTGAGGGTTGTGCCAACTTTGAAGGTGGAAACAAAAATGGGCTCACTCCTGAAGTTCCATACTAATTCCTCTGGTTTTATATCCCCACCTGGAATCACGTGTTAATTCAGGGAAAGAAGAAGAGATGAATGTCTTTTTTTGTTTGTTGGTTTGGTTTGGTTTTTTGGTAAAGGCTTGGGACCTAGAATAAAAACCAGATGGTTCAGGGCTAACTAGATAAATCTAGTCATGCAGACTAGAGCAGATGGTGGGTTGGAAGTTGAGCAGTACTGAGGCCTAATGGTGATAGCAGTGAGTATTTGCATGTCATTATTTTATTCGTTAGCAAACAGAGCCATCCTTGTGGTCCCTCCTCAGTGTTATGCATGATGGTGCTGTAGGTGTTAGCCCTCCAGAGTTGGCACAACAGCCCAATCAATGTGTTCTGCTGTCTTTTTTGATCTGCTCTGTCATCCCTGTGGCTTCATTAGCAACACACAGGGAAATGAGTAGTGAATATAGAGTTTTCATTCATCACTCTAACTCTCCAACCCTAGAAGCCTCCTACCCAAAAGCAATCCTTTGTTTTGTTTTCTTAAGGTGATTTCTTGCATAAACTTGCCTTTAACATCCCAAGTTCTGTCTTTTGGCTTTCTGAGGTAGATCACTTGGAATCAGGGAAGGCAATTGAGTGTGTGTGTGTGTGTGTGTGTGTATTTAACCACAACTCTGGCAATGTGCATCTAAGTCATCTCTTTCAGTTAAGAGAGAGCGTCAACAGTCAACAGCGTATGAGGCCCAGAGGTTGGTCTTTTTGAATGTGTTGTGCTGTTCTGCCTGTGCCCATGCTGTGGGCCCTCTTGTTCCAGATTCACATTAAGAGTAAACCACTTCCTCCTGGCAGGGAAGTGCACAACGGGTCTTGGAGAGGGACTCAGATGAAAACTAAGATGGGCCACGCAGGCACAGCCCCAGTGCTGGCTAGTATCTCATTAGTCCCACCATGTGGAGTAGATTCTCCCCACCAATAGTCTTTTGCCCCGAGTCCCCCTTTCCTTTGTACTGAGCTTGCCACCTGGCTGACTCATTGTTTTATTCCCAGTAACTGCTAAATGCAGACTGGGGCTGCCTGTGGACATTGGCTTAAGAAATGGATAAAGCAAACAGCATAGTGAGAAATGGAAAGAACCCAGCCATCCAGCTAGGGCTGGGCTTTGTGGAGTAGGGATTAGGGTTAGGAAGGAGATGTTCAGAAGAGGGAAGTCTCCACATTTTCCAGTTCTCTTAACTGTGAAAGGAAGACACAAATTTGTGAAATGACTTCCTTCTCCAAAGTCACATAGAAGATACAGAGTAGGATTCCCGCATCAAGGAAGTTCTACTTGTGTCACCTTTTTCTTGGAATCAGTGGGTTTGCATTTCATTCATCTTTGTTTTGATCTTTTGGGCAATAACAGCTGTTGAGTAGCTCTTCAGGAACAATTTTGATAACTTTTTCCTTTTCTAATCTCTCAAATGATGTTTTCTAAGTGCGAACTTTGGTTATAGTTTCCTATTGAAGTGGTACAGGAGACATATCTTTTTTTTTTTTAATATTTTTTTATTATGATTTGGGTGAAAGTTTACAGAGCAAATTCATTTTCCGTACAGCAGTTGATACACGTTTTATTTCATGACATTGATTACAATACCCCACATTGTGATAGCTTTCTTCCCTGGAGTTACCTCTTCCCTGTGTCCTTCTTTACCATGTATTCCTGCCCCCTGAGCTATGTCTCTGTGCAAATACTGCCCTTCTGTTCTCCCATGAGTGATCGTTCTAAGAAGTGTATCTACCTGATACAAATGTTCACCCTGTATGCCTGAGAAGACATATCTTTCCCTCCTCTTGTGTTTCTCGTTGCATGATGTTTTAGTTTGATTGACAGTGCAGCCTTCGGCATTTCTTGAGAAAAAGGTTCAGGCTCCGGAGGAGGCCTCAGAATTTCTTGGCTCCAGAATTTCTCATAATATCAATATTGCACTTTCTTATCCTCTTTTCTTTCTCTGTCTTTGCAGCCTCTGTGAATGTGCTGGTGCAGAACTGCAAGATCTACAATGATGCCAGCTGTGACATTTCTGCAGATGGCCAGCTTCTGGCAGCATTCATCCCTAGCAGCCAAAGGGGCTTTCCTGATGAAGGCATCCTGGCAGTGTACTCCCTGGCTCCCCATAACCTGGGTGAAATGCTCTATACCAAACGATTTGGTAAGGGATAGGAACCCCAACATAGAGATCAAGGGATGCTGGTGCATTGGCATGGGCATTCCTAGGTGAGGCATGGTGGGATTCGTGGTCATGTACTGCCTGGCTTCAGGGGACACAGACCAGAGGAAGACTATTCTGCAGGAGTCCTGGCTGGTGGCACTGGAAAAGAATCTCAGAATAAGGGTTCTTCCTACCACCATTGCATCACCAGCCACCTCCTGATATGATGGCCAGGAATAAGGGAGGAGCTTTGGTCACAGGCTTAGGAAAATGGGCACACTCATACACTTCAAGGCAGCCTGGCACTGTGTATTAAAAGCCCCCAAAATATGTGCTTTCTAATCTAGTAATCTTACTTCTAAGACATTGATCATAAAACTGTACAAAGATTTGCATACAAGGATGTTCACAATACCGTTATTCATTAATAGAGAGAAAGGTCAAACTGCAAAGAATTGCTTAATTAAGTCATGGTTCAGTCGTAGGGTAGAATACCATTTGGCCCTTAAAACGTTTTTGTAGAAGAATATTTAATGATAGAAAGTGTTCATAATATATTAAGTGAAAAAAGTAGATTTCAAAATAGCATTTACAGTATGGTACCATTTTTTAAAAATGTGATTATATGGTAACAGTGGTTAACATTTATTAAATACTTTCTCTAAGCCAAACACTGTACTCAGTGCATTATATACCTTCCCATGGTACTCCTCACTACAGTCCTATGAGGTAACCCTAGGATGACCAGAATATGAAAACTGGAGGAAAAGAGAAAAGACTAAAAGTCGTTTCCTAGAAATGACAAGAACTCTGGAAAATGTGTCTCTGTTCTTTTGGCCCTCAGGTCCCAACGCCATTTCTGTAAGCCTGTCCCCAATGGGCCGATATGTAATGGTGGGCTTAGCCTCGAGAAGGATCCTCTTGCACCCCTCCACAGAGCACATGGTGGCCCAGGTCTTCAGGCTGCAGCAGGCCCATGGTGGTGAGACCTCCATGAGGGTGAGTGCCACCGCTTGTGTCTCTGCTGTATGGTGACTCTCCTAGGCTTGGCAGGGCAATGAAGGGCACCGGTGTGATCTCTCAGCCAATAGCAGAATATCATGGTCTCAGGAGGAAGAAAGGACTCCAGTCCAGCCCGTCTGTGATCGACAGGCTTCATTTTGTGAAGCTCTAGACTGGTAAATGGCAAGGGCTTCCCCGAGGCCTTAGAGTGTCCTTGGATAAAGAATAAACTAGACACTTCCTTACCTCAGCATGAATCCTGTGTTCTAGAGGTACACAAGGGACTCTATGAGATATTTTATTATTTAAAACCCTCTCTCCCCTTTTTCTTCTTCTTCTTCTTCTTTTTTTTTTTTGAGGCTGCAAGCCATAAAAAGATAGTATTCCATGCAATGTTCTTTCCTGTGGGTTGTAATCATGATAGAAGATGATGGCTTTGGGCAGCTGCTGGGCTCTTAATCGGCCTATCTATTTCACCAGCAGAGAAAAGGTCCTGTTTAAGATCCTCTCTTGTCTGAGGAGTACCTTTCTCATATTGCCATAAAAGCCTTCTGGGCTTTGTGTAGTTAGCGGCTTTCTGGACTCAGTCAGACTAGCGTGCCTGACTGAGCTTTCCACATCCCGTGGGGGCTCATTTGGCCAGGATTTTGTCAAGGGGAGTTGAACATTTGAACAGCCTCTAATTAGATGGTATTTAAGCTCTGTCTCAAGCTAAGAACCTGTGAATTCCCTTAGTACTTTGTGCAGCCTGTGCCATTTATAGTTTTATGCACTTGTTTATATGTTCCTTTGTGTTTTCTTTAGTTGTGTTGTGTGTATGTTTAATCTACCCAATTAGGTTCAGTAGAAACTCCTTAGGGGCATATTCCCGGTGGTACCTCATTTAGTGCTGTGCATGTGGATGCTTGTTGAATGCCTGAATGGGAAAGAATTGTTTTAAAGAAAAATCTAGAAATGAGATCCATTATATGCAAAGTGATAGGAAGTGGGTGGCTTGATGACGTCTGCTTTTGCCTCTCCTGCTTCTTCTCCCTCCTGTCTCCCACAGGTACCCTCCATCCAGCTACAGTGAACCACTTTCCAAGCTCCCTGAATTTGACAAGGCTCTTTCATGCCAGGGTGCCTTTACCTGGAATGCCCCTCTCTCCCCCGTCCCCAACTGCCTGTCAAGCTCTCCCCCTTGTGTGAAACCTTCCTTAACGGAATTGATCGCTCCTTCTTTGTGCTACCACTATACCTGGTACATGCTAAACACTTGTCACACCCTGCTGCAATTACTTGTTTCCACGTCGGCCTCCTCTCCTGGACTGTGAGTTCCTTGAGACAGGCACTGTGTCTGTTTTATCTTTATGAAATTCTAGTACCTAATAGGGAAGCTGATATCTAGTACAAACTGGATAAATTAAAATCTCAAGAAAAGTGTCCTCAGCATTTGTAGGTAGTCATTAGCAGAATCAGTGATGGGTGGCCTCTGTCTCGCTGAGCCTCTGAAAGGGGCAGAAACAAAGAATCCTCTGCTCTTGACATTTTAGTGAAAGGAATGGTCTGATTCTTGAATGCTGTATGACTCTGGAAATATCTGACATTGAGTGACTAGAAGAAGACTTAGTGGGGAATTCATCAAGCCTGTTTTCTTATGTAGATATTTGAGTATGGAGGTTGAGTTTTAGTTAAAACAGTCTTCTTTTACTTGATCTTAAGTAGATTTCGATGATAAAGTACCTGGTGTCTGCTTTCCACCACCTAGAAACCCTGGTCCCAATAGCTGTTCTTCTAACCCTTCCTGCCTAATTATAAAATAATTGTTTATAATCTTTAAGAGACAGGATCTGATGTTGGCAATACTAATGGACATCTCCAGCCTCTTCTGGAAGCCAGGGCTTCTGCCCAACTCCTGGGGATGGCCTGCCTGTCCTCCCTCCTAGCAAGGTTCCTATTTTCCATAAGTAACCAGAAACCTCTGGCTAAGGGGAAACAGCTACAGAAAGGAAGCCAAGATGCTAAGACCTTATTGTCGCATATGTGGCTGTTAGTGCAGGAATGCAGTCGGAGAAGTCTGCTGAGAATATGTGGTAATCGACTTAGTCCACTGCTGTCCTGCTAAGGGGCTCAGAGAAAGTAGCCAGCTGCCTAGAGCCTCATGACAAGCACTGTTTCTCAGGCCTTCCAATGAGGCTTTTTGCATTCTTAGTAGCTACCATCTGCTGCTTACAAGCGAGAACTGTAGTAACTAGAATGTTCCTGTTTGGAAAGGGTTGCCTCTTACCTAACAGGATCAAGGCATCTCAACAAGGTTTTGCTCAATCTGCTGTCCACCTAGTCTGACTTTAAACCCCTATATAGAAAGGTTTCTGGTTTTCTAGGTCTTGGTTGCCCCTAACATCCAAGGCGCCAAAACATTCAGCAAATGTCCCTGAATTCAGTCACTGGTGGAAGGGAAGACACCAGCCTTTTTTGGATTTAAGGCAAGAAATGAATTTTTATCTGAGAGCAGGGGGTGAGGGTTTAATGGGACAGTAGAGCATCTCTCTTTGCGCAGGTAAGTGTAGATGGGTGTCTCCATCAGTAATGTTGAGCTCTGTCCTTGAAGAAGTGCTTTTGTGGGTAGTGGGAGTGTCTCAGAGCTTCTTTACCCAGAATTCCCCTTCTCTATGGTGTTCTCTATGGTCAGCCAGGGGGCAGTTTAAGCATAGGCACTGAAACAAGGCGGGCTTGTGCTTACTCACTGATCTGCACTGAACACGTTCCCTTGTTACCCTACCG